AAACAACGTTCGAAGGACGATATAATCCTATGAAAAACATTATTTTGTGAGAAATTAAATAGTCTTACGAAACTTTATGGGATTACCCTGCTCATTCTACTATTATCGACTCTTGATAGTTTATGTACGTAGTCATTTTTACGTGCTGTATGATTTCCAATTCACAAAATTTTGTTTAAGTTTAAGGATTTACAGTCATTGAGTGATTTGTTCAATGGAGAGGGCAAAAAGAACATCAGACTTGGATCACAAGCTCGAAACATGATGTACAAAATTTTATGTTTTCCGAAATTTTTCGGTTTTTATTGAATAAATTTTCTTTCATCTGTCCGAAAAATACGTTATGAATGTCGCTAGAGTGTGTAGCCAGTGTTGCGCTTGAAGAGCGGCTAGCTTTTGGTAGACGTCTAAATAAATAAAACGATAGAGCGGTTATGCTCGACACACATTTATTTAAATTGTGGATTCGTAATGCCTACACTAAAATGTTTAGACACTTCCTAACTGGCACGTATAGGCACTTCCCTGAGTCTTCAGGCACTAGCGAGGGAGCCGCTAGTGCGACCAGCGTTGAATCCGAAGTCCCGTCGCCCGGAGTCCGTGCGAATGCGTGGAAAACCCGCCACACGTAGAGCTGCAGCACCAGTCTTAAGGGATTCGTGATCCGGAACGTGGACTCCAATAACAGGAAAGAAACAACAATGATTTTAATTTGTTTTAAAGTATTATAAAGAACCTTTTTAAATATCTTGGCTGTATGGTAAACGACCAGGAAGACCACAGCTTAGAAATTAGATGTCGCCAGTGCTTTTATTAAAATGAGCCACCTACTTTAAAATCGTAGTCTCAAACTATCGACAAGATGCCGTGCTGTATATTTAGTGCGGTGCTGCATATTTTCAATTCTTTTGTACGGAGTAGAAGCATGGACACTAACTCAGACATTATGTAAACGGTTAGAAACTTTTCGAATTGTGGGTTTATCGAAGAATTTTGAAAATATCGTGGACGGACAGAGTCACCAATGACAACGTATTGCGGTGGATGCACAAAGGCTTGGAAAACAGTAAAAAAGGAAGCAGTACTTCAGGCACATCACGTGGTGTGATAAATACTCTCTACTGCAACTCATTCTGCCGGGAAAAAATACAGGGCCGCAGAAGACGTGGTCGTAGAAAAACCACAGGCTTCAAAATCTTGCATAGTGGTTCAACATAAGTACCACAGAACTGTTCTGAGCCGCAACTTCACGGACCCAAAATGCCACAGTGATAGCCAACCTCCGGTAGGAGATCGCACCCCTTAAAGAAGAAAAAAGCACCTTTAAACAATTGTATATTTTAAATATAATTAGGGACCGTACGGCGCGGAGCTCGGTTGAAAATGACAAGGATTAAAGAAGCCTGTACTGTTCGTCCCGAGGTCCGTTGTCGAATCGAGTCAAATACGGTTATTTTCATTACACCATTGTTTCACTACTTTGACACATTGACGAGTTATCCGGTTCCCGATTCTCATTTCCCCAACATTCCGTTTGACTATTCTATCGAATTGAATATTTAATTTTTGTAAAAAAAATATCTCTTACTCATGCAGATTTTGAAATTAAATTTTCGGGTGACAAAGATATGTGGCGCCGTTTTGTTTCGGGAAAATAATGTACAGTCGCATTGACTCCACGTAGGCGATGTATAACCGTGATACGACATTTTCTATCTTGACAAAGATGCCACGTTTCCAAATCTTTTTCTGAAAATTCGATGTTACGTTTACTTTGGACAGTAACTTGGAATAATCTAAACAAGGACGCTACTACCACTTTACAGTACACAAAGCAGTTAGTTTAGTAGCAATAGAGCTCCTTGTGGTGTTCCGGTTTGGAAGGGTAAGGTTGCTAGTGAAATTACAGGTACATGGGACTTGTCAACTTATTTATTAGGGTGACGGGCGCAGTGGCAGTGCCCCTAAGATCTTTGCGATTTTTAGCTCTGAATGGCACAGTAAGTGCTATGAACAGGCGTATCGCTTACGACCAGACGCACAAAAAGGCTAGAAAATGTCAGTGATAGGCTGTAATGCACACTGCTCGGCAAATGTCTTGTTTTTTCTTTTTTTACTCTTCCCTATCATTAGTATAAATTTCCTAACACTTTTCCAAACCACAAACATCTTTTCATTGAGGCAAAAATTGTATGTGCCCATTACTTCTTTTCATTCTGCTGACTTGCCCTTTCTATCTTATTTAGAAACGGTTCGCTGTAAAAGCTACAACACATGAGTGTAGCTCACATAGCTCTGACTATGCAATGTTGCAAGTGTCAATAGAAGGTAACTGCTGACCCATTTTTACCGACAACCTTTTGCGGTGATCCGTCCGCTCTGCTCTGGCCGCTATTTGCTATTTCACAAAAGGAACGACGGAGTGACTGGCCGTGACGGAAATTCTAATTTCGCGGAATATATTTGAAATTCGTAGCGGTTGAACATTACTGGTATAGTAAAAAATATTTTAATTTATGAAAAGTTAATGATAAACTAAGGAGACGCGGTAAACCATGTGGGAGACGGTTGGATGGTTTAGACTTATTTTTACAGGACTAATCAGATGTTGCACAAGTTCGAGAACAATGGGAAAAGAGGGAGAAACCTTTAGTGGGCTTATAAAAAAAATGGCTTATCATCTCACAAACATTGTGAATGAAAAGTTGCAAGAGTCTGTTTTAACTTGAATGATTTTAAGTGACATGGATATAGATATCTTCATCTTGAATTGGAAAAAGGGTAGCATGAAAGGCGCCTTTTTAAACTAAATTAGATTTCTTTATATGTATCCAAAGATATAAATTTTCTTTAAAACATTTTCTGAATGTGAGAACACAAACTTTACGATGATTCCAGGCATGCGAAAATGAAAAAAAAAGTAATGTAATAAAGTGGAAAACAAACGGAGGCTATCACTGGGACAAGTTTTGCTGAAACTTGGCCGCGGCATATTGTCTCCCGGAGTTACATGAAGAACTTTGAAGCCCGATACTTACGGCTCAATAAAATTGTTTGCTTGTTGATTGCACAAATAGTTTACTTTCTAATGTTTTTTGACCTCTCTTATGTTTTTATCGAAATAATGTAATGTATAGCGGTTGAAATTTACTTTAATAACTCATAACATAAAGTATATAAATAAAATATTTGTGCGTTAATTATTATTAAAATATTATTTTCGTAAAATGTGTGTGTTTTTATTATGAAAACTAACACGGTTATCACACATTATAACATAAAAGTAACGGGACTTACTCGCGTAGTATTTTAGTCGGAAGCGGTCCGACTAGTTTCGACCATAATCGATGGTCTTCTTCAGGTGTTAAGTGCAACGTTCGCGACCGCGTCACGTCTAACACTGCGCGCTGCGGCTCTCTGCGCGCGCGCCGATGACGCAGTCCGCAGTGGGGAACTCCGGAGGCTGATACGTTGCGTTGTAAAAAACTAATATACGCGACTTAGATCTGAGAAATAGTTTCATTTCTAATCAGCAATTAAGGACACCTATTATATAAGTCTCTGAAGTTTGGAAGATCTCCAATCATGGATTGCAACATCCACGCATTATCCATAAGATAAATCTAATTAACTACAATATCATGTACCGTAAAGTTAGTTACGACAAACTCAGCGGCAAACACCGATCCAGTCCAAATTCAGCAGTAGATAGATAATTCTCATTTTGGTGAACCAATAATGTACCGTAGACTAAGTTATGAGCTTCAGCGGCAAAATTAGATCGGACCGAATTCAACAATAAATAAGTAATTCTAATTTTGGTGGACCGCAAATGTACTTACTACTCACTAACCAGCTCACATTTTTTTATGATTTGAGAATCTCACCTTTTCAACAATTTTATTTTGAAAAGTTGGACAATATTATTAATATGATCACATAAACGCCCAGTGTAAATTATAACAAAAATATCGCATTCAAATTTGGCTAAGCTATATAATATCAATTATGCTGACGACATGGTGCTGCTGGGGCCGTCTATTAATGCGCTCAGGAAATTACTCAAAGTGTGTGAGAGGTATGCAGCCAAGCATGGGCTGAAGTACAACTCAAAAAAAAGTGAACTGCTTGTTGTAAAGGCAGGTAAATGCTATCCAGATGTTGTACCATCGTTAACGCTTGGTGGCACGCCTCTTAATAGAGTTGATAGGTTTAGATATCTTGGTCACGTTATTACTGACAGCATGAAAGATGATCTAGATATTGAAAGGGAGCGCAGAGCGCTGGCTGTGAGAGGAAACATGCTGGCCCGTAGATTCACTCGTTGTACAAAAGACGTGAAAGTTATGCTTTTCAAAGCTTTTTGTCAGTCAATGTACTCGAGTAGTCTATGGGTTAGATATACACAGCGTACATACAATTCAATACGAGTACAATATAATAACATCTTCAGGATGCTGTTGGGACTGCCACGGCACTGCAGTGCATCCGGCATGTTTGCTGAAGCGCGAACAGATGACTTTTATGCCATCAGGCGTAAAAGAGTGTCATCTCTGCTAAAGCGAGTGCGTGACAGTGGCAATGGCATCCTGAGGATGTTTGCCCATCGTTTTGACTGTAAAATTTTAAAGTTTTGGGTAAATATTACAACGGGTCAAATTAAGCAATAATTGTGCATTTTCCAAATTTTAATATTTAAATTTTCTGTCAATATATTCAAAATTCAATGTAATCATACTAACATAGTTCTAAGGTTTTCTTTTGTAACTAACACTATTATCTTATGGGCTATGGCCTGAAATAAATGGTTTTATTATTATTATTATATTATTATATATATGTTCTATATAGAGTAACAAGAAAAATACTTTTTTCATATAAAACTGAAGGCAGAATTGCTTGGCCTTGCAGCATGTAATTCAATTTAGAGGCTAAAGGACGTTCGGACCCACCTTGAACACAATCACCATGTTTTAACATCTGTTCCATTTCGTTCTCAGGTGGGATGGCTAAGAGCAGAGGACCAGACAGTTCTCACAATGCACGAGCGTGCAGTCCTAGGATCACGCTACTCCGTAGGTCTGGATGCACCTCGAACCTGGCAACTGCGCATACGACCGCTGAAGGCTGAAGACCGTGGTTGTTACATGTGCCAGATCAACACGCAACCCAGTATGAAGTGGCAGATTGGATGTATTGACGTATATGGTAAGTAATTATAATAATAACATATTTTAATCTCACATCACAACCAAGATTCTGACGACCTGCCCAAAGGTTTGCTCTGTGAGCATTGACTTACAATTATAAGGACATCGGGTTCGCGCTAAAAAGTGTCCGAACTTATAGGGCGTTAAAATCGTATATAGAGCGTCATTTACGCTTTAGTATTCGTTTGTTCGACTGACAGCGAAACAAGCAAAATTAGACAGTAATACGATGACATTACAATTTAAATTCAACGTTTTAGCTTTTTCATATTCCTTTGACTTGGGACATTTTTTTCGTGGTTTTTGTATTAGACTCGTCGTCCATTTATTTGTAAGTCAATGTCTGTGAGCGTTGGATTTCATGACAACTGCAATTTGGCGCTACTCAAGGCTACAGTGAAGATATATATTTTTTTGTATAACTGTTGCTCACATCGTCGCCTAACATTAGGTGATATTGTGTCAAGCGGATGTCTACATTTCATTGATTGACCATCATGATGTTTTTACTAAGATGATATTCATCTATGTTTTTTTATCTACATTTTGCACTAGTTTGTCATTATTATGGATTCAAAGAACGAACAAACACAAAGAATTCCTTCAATTCAGGAAGAAATTTTTCTTTGTGTTTTGTTCGATCTTTGTATGAATAATAATATTAAATGTTGCAATCCTTTTGAGAGACTGGAGACTAGACTAGGTACTAAACCCGTATGACAGGCTGTAATACGGGTATAGTAAGTAATTTTTTTTAGTTTATTACCTATGTAGAGATTAGAAAACATGTCTTACTGGTGCGTTTTCTAGATACCAATGTACTAATTATTTAAAAACTAATCTTTAAAATTATGCCACTTTTCAGGCATCAAACCTGAAAAGAACTTATAAGTAATGAACACACAATTTTGAATGATGAGTTGCTTGAGGAGGTCTTCGGGTTGAATCCCTTTTGGACAAATTTGGGAATGAACATTTCCGAATTGGTTCAGGTGTAAATGTTCTGGGTGGTGCCCGAGTGTGAATTCCGTTGCACAAATCTCTAGAGTCTTGTGATCTGACATAATGGAAAACATATGTAATATGAATGTGGTTCATTTGCGTTTTTGCTGTGTTGCTATTATCTAATAGTTTATTTGAAGCTTTAAACGTGGCCATGTTTAGTTAATTTTTAACCATATCGAAATAAGTTGACACTGCATCTTTTAGTAAGGATTGATTTAAAGTTCTCGAAAAACCAATTTGCGTTTCCCCTATTGTTGAACTGCCTCTGTGGCCGAAAGGTTGCCATGCTGGACTACTACACAGAGATCCTGGGTTCGATTCCCAGGCCGGGAGAAATATGTGTATGGCCTACATTTATTTCTCTCGTGAGTTTAGGCGTAATTTGTGGTTGTTTAATTATGTGTCCATGGCACCTGCGACACAGGGTTTCCCTAGTGCAGGGCTATGAGTGTATTGCGTTATTATTATTATTGTGCTTTTCAGGTCGCTTCAACTTAAACACTAAAATATTTATACTATTGAGACACAGCCTGTGTGAGACACAGCCCTTCTGTAGACACAGCCTGTGTTTAACAGTTTCTTGTAATCAAATATCTTTTCCCTTTATTTCAAGACGAAAACAAAACATTTGTAGCTCTGAATTAATTTTGTCGAACAATTACTTACAATTTTAATTTTCCCTGAAAATTTATTATGCGGCTTCTTTTTCAACTATTTAATAAATTCAATCGTAATTGTAAAAATTGTTTCGTAATAAACCAACCACTTGTTGCTTTAACGTCAACAACAATTTTATGACATTAAAAGCTTCTTATTTCTTGAAATCAAATAATGTAATGATGTTTATTTTATTACGATTTTATTTTATTTCTACACAGTGACTTATTTTATCATGAATTTAGAATCATATAAACTCTGACTTGTAAGTTATAATGTCGTTACGAGTAAATTATTTAATTTTATCTGTTATTTCTAATTTACTTTGTGTTACTATCATTGTCTGAACTTTCTGGAAGGAGCTGGTGGTTAAACTGCAGAATCGTAGTGGAATATTCCAGAAATGAACTTTTCCATGCTTACTGAAGTTGTAACAACTGCTAAACTCGTTTTATATACACGAGTTTCTCACACAGTCTCCCACATATAAATAAACACCCACACAACGCACTTTGCAGACACGAATCTTTTGTACACTTGTCTTTTGTTGGTTCTGTATAATATATTTTAAATTATTTATATTAACATCTCTGTCAAATTTGGTGTAAAGACACAGATCACTTGATCTAGTTTAGATTCCAGTCTTCTGCAGATTTTGTGCTTTATTAAATAAAACCTTTGAATTTCTACTACCAGTAGAGTCCCTGTGAAAGATTTCGTCCAGGGAACTACTGCCACTTTACCTATTTCTGTCGCCAAGTAAAATGTCAGCTTTACTGCGTTCCGGTTTTGAACTTATGTCTTAGAGTGACGGGTGTTGTGGCAGTGCCCTTCAGGTCTTTGGGATTTAAGGCTCTGAGTGGCACTGTATCTGTTATGGATAGACGTGTAGCTTATCATCAGGCGCCTGACTGGTTCGTCCCTTCACTTGATTTATATAAAAGACCTTATTTTAGAACAATATTTTGTAACCAAACTATAATACAAAGCAACTTATAAATAGAAGTGAATTATTAGAAGTATATAACCGAAAAGATGCAATTGTATGACAGATGTGAATATCTATGACCTGGAGAACAAGTCGTGCGCTTGATGGTAAGCGATATGCCTACCCATAACAGTTGCAGTGTCACTCAAAGCTTTAAATCGCAAAGATCTGAAGGGCGGTTTCACTGTGCCCGCTACCTCAGACACAAAGTTAACAAGTGTCTGTAATTTCACTCTTCAAATGCGGAACATATTACTGCTTAGCGGTAGAAATACGTAAGGTGGAAGTGCTTCTCCAGACGAAATCATCCAAAAGGAGCTCTGCTGCTTCTAAATTGTTATAAAATACTACAGTTATTGAGAAGATTTCATTGCAATGTGAAATTAATATTTATTACAATAACTAGTTTACATGGAAGCTGGTCAAAGCGACAAGTTTTCTTATATACTATATAATATAAGCACAGATTTTATGTGAATATAATATGATAACTACCTCTCAAATTGTTGTCATCCCCTACTGGCCCTTAAAGGCTAATAATTGTGTACTTTATAATTATTGTTACGTCATTTTACTCATGGAGAATACTGATACAATTATTTATTATTTTATTTATTTATTATTATTTATTTATACATTTTAGGAAAATTCACGAACACATAATACAATTATAGTATACTTAAATATAAGTACTCCAATGACACTTACGAATTTCCACCAATATAAAGTGCTTAGCAAGCATTGACCTACCACAAATAGGTCAATGTTAGCAAGCCAAAAAGAGATTATAGGAGAATACAAAAAACACAGTCAATAAATTTAAAAAATAAAAAATAAATAAAAAAATACTAATATTATACAATTAAACCTTAGCGGATGGTAAAAAAAAGTCTAAGAATTATTATTATATATTTTTTTAATATTATATATAATTTATTTAATTTTATATATATATAGGAAATGAAACTATTTTTCCGGATTTAAATCGCGTATATTTGTTTTTTCAAACAAACCGACGTTTCGGGCCCTTTACAGGTCTCATGGTCACGGTTGACACGGTCAACTTTAAGGTTAAATACGGAAAAATAGTTTCATTTCTTATGTGTAACAATCGCGAAAACCTAAGAACTCGATTTATATATATATATTTTTTATTATATATTATATTATTATATAATTATTCATCGCCAATCACGTGATGTGCTAAAGTGACGTTTAGTCATTTCTCGACTGACTGTGTCTATGCTTAAACAAATCAAACTCAGAATGATTTACCGTCGCATTGTTATAGTCTCAAAGTACGCACCATGTATGTATTTTGCCTATAATTAGTGCTAGCAAACGGCACTTGCAGAAGTGGTCGACATCTGTAATGCAACAAGTTTTTGCGCAGGTTTATGTGTGACAACAATTCTGGACAATCAATATTACTGTTGGCGATCCTCATCAGAAAACTGACGTCACTAATGTCTCGACGTACACGAAGCGGCAAAATATGGTACTTAGTACACCTATGCTCATAACCTGATGAAAATTGTTTAGTTTTGTAGTCCAGATACCGTAAAAATCTATGCTGAATTGCCTCCAACCGAGACTTACAGGTTTCATGGCATGGATTCCAGACCTGTGAACCGTACTCAAGGTGACTCTGTAAAAAAGAGTAATAAAGAATCTTAATGCATTTGATATTATTGAACGTCGCCCATGTCCGAATAATGAATCCAAGTGCCTTTGAAGCCTTACTTATTACACAGTCAATATGCTTGTCAAAAAGTAGTTTGTCGTCATGGAGTACACTCAAGTCCCTCATTTCCCTGACTCACAATATGTTGGTGCCATGTAATTTGTAACCAGTGCCTATAGTTGATGTTTTACGGCTGAATGTCTTGAAAAACATTTGGATACATTAAGTTCAAGCCTATTTATGGTACAGCAGGCTTCAAATCTGCTTAAGTCTGCCTGAAGATCTGAAGAAGAATATAAGGGTTATAACGGAAACAGAAATGGAAACAGACGTAAAAAGCAAACGCAAGCAGATGCGGGAGCAGAAATGCAAACTGCTAAAATCCCGCGCCCCATCGCCAAGGACACCACGCGCGCGCTCTACATCCATCGTTGTAAACTTTCTATTAATGTTTCATTATAAAACTTGCGGAAACAACGGAAACAGATGTGGAATAATGTGTTTAATTTCCGCAATTTCAGAAACAGAAGTGTTCAATCACTAATGGATAGTAATAACATTATTGAGTATTAAGTATTTTAGTAGTTACAAATGTTGCTATTAAAACCAATATTCTGTTAATAATTGTATCTGTTACTATAAAAACCTACAAATAAACGTGCTT